GGGTGTGGTTACATGTCCTCCGGGTGTGGTTACATGTCCTCCGGGTGTGTTTACATGTCCTCTGGGTGTGGTTACATGTCCTCTGGGTGTGGCTACATGTCCTCCAGGTGTAGTTCACCTGAATATAGAGTGGTTACCTCTCCTCGGTGTTTGGACCAGATTTCGTTAGGCTCCAGGTGTGCTTGCTCACCTTTACCTGCCTGCTGGTGTTGACGTGTCTCCCTTTGTGTTCCAGGTGTGGATGGAAGGTGTTCTCAGGAAATGAGCTGGCTGCTCTGTTTGGTTGGTGGATGTTCTTTAACTGGAAGGAGAACCATCCAGATCCGGCTGATACTCAGAACGTCTACATGTTGGCCACCACCGTGTCCTCTAAGATCCTGCAGGCTTTCTCTCGGATCGAGGGGTTTCACTTCGAGGTCAGAACCTTTACACCGATGATGCAGATCACTTGAAACTTTGAGTTTGGTTCTGACTGAACCAGTTCGGGTCTTTGTTTGTCCCGACTGACTGAGAAGCTTCCAGGTATACATTAGTGTTCAGAAAGAGCAGAAGGTTCCTTAAAACTGAAATGGACCAGATCAGACTAGATCTCTGAAAACCTGCAGCAAAACAAACGATCACAGAAAGAAGGTTTATAAATAAATGAAGGTTCTGTCTGAGCAGTTGAGTGTGTTCTGATAACGATCGGGTCTTCGTCATCTAATGATTCACTGTCTGCTCAACAGGAAACTCTTCCTGGATTCAAATGGATCGGGAACAGAATCCACGAACTCTCCAAAACCGGAAACAGTGTCATATTTGCGTTTGAGGAGTCCATAGGTGAGTCCGAGTTCAGAATGTTTTAATACACCTGAAATGTTCCGATGTCCGAGATCTGAAGTGTTCTGTTTCCTGCTGGTTTTCAATTTTAATGGGTTAAACTTCAAAAACTGACGCCTGGTGACCAGTTTTAAAACTGTAGCTCGTAAAACATCCGGTCCGCTGACGTGTTTCTGTTTTATTCAGATTAAATTAGTCTTTGCTGTAAATTTGAAGAAGTTATGTTTGAGTTTCAACAGTTGGTAAAAAAAACAACACGTTCTTCTGTAAAGTTATCTAACAAAATAATCTGACCTCCAGCTCTTCAAGCTCTGTAGTTTGACCCTTTTCCTACACAGTACAGGTCAAAGGTCACTACAGTTCATCATTTCCACATTTTCATTATTTTAAAATTTACAATTACTGTCAGGATAAATCCATTCTGAGGGAATAAACGGGCCGGAACCGTTTGTTTTCAGGTTTCCTGTGTGGCAGCATGGTCCCAGAGAAAGACGGTGTGAGCGCCGCTGTGGTCATGGCGGAGATGGTGGCGTATCTTCACGAGAAGAGCCTGAGTCTAAACCAGCAGCTGCACAACATCTACAGAACGTAAGGTTCTACAAAAGTTCTGATGGGATCAAAACACAAACATTCCAGTAATTTAAACAACGTTCAACAAACTGAAAGCAGGAACATGATGTTGACGCCTGAGAAGAACGAGTTCTGGTTCCTGTCTGACCAGCAGGGAGCAGCAAACATTCACAGTGATCCATCCATTGTGTGTGTGGATGGATCACTGTGAATGTTTGCTGCTCTCTGTATGACTGAATGACAGTATGATGTACAGACTGTATACAATACTGCATATTTCATTTCATTTAGCCTTTATGACTATATACGGTGTGTGTGTGTGTGTGTGTGTGTGTGTGTGTGTGTGTGGGGGGGGTTACGTACGTGTGTACTTGTATATCTGAACTTTTAAAATGCATGAAGTGCCTGGATCTTCATCTGGTTGTGAAATGTTGAATATTTGAAGTGAATTTGTACATTTAAAGTCTTTTTACTTTAAATGCTTTTAACTGGAGACAGTTTTTAATAAAATATTTATTGATCTCATTTGTAAACATTTGGTGAAATCCTTTTATTGTTTTATTTTGACAGTTTGGTCCGTTGTAACTTCTTGTCTCCAGGTACGGTTATCACGTGTCCAGAACCTCCTACGTGGTCTGTAATGACCCCCCAACCATCCAGAAGATCTTCGGTCGCATCAGGAACTTTGACGGCAACGGTTCGTACCCAAAGACGTGCGGCGGCGTGCGGATCGTCCACGTTAGAGACGTAACCACGGGATTCGACAGCAGCCAGCCTGACCTCAGATCAGTAAGAAAACTGTCCACCCTGATCTGACACACCTGTGACCCCGACACCTGTGACCCCGACACCTGTGACCCCGACACCTGTGACCCCGACACCTGTGACCCCGACACCTGTGACCTGATCAGACACCTGTGATGTCTTCCAGGTGCTTCCTGTGTCAAGGAGTGGTCACATGATCACCTTTACTCTGGAGAACGGCGTGGTGGCGACGTTGCGGACGAGTGGCACCGAGCCCAAAATTAAATCTTACACAGAATTCTGTGCTGCCCCGGGTCAAAGGTCAGCTCCAGCTGCAGTTTTATAAGATATGACATCAGAACAAGTGGGCGGGTCAGTGATGACATCATCTTTTTGTGCCACAGTGATGTCAGCAGACTGGAGGCGGAGCTTCAGAAGGTCACAGATGCTCTTTTGGACGAGTTCCTGGAACCAGACAAGAACCAGCTGATCCGCCGCTTCATCTAGCTCCGCCCACTGCTTCCTAGCAGTGACATCACATCCTGTCAGAGCTGCTTCTTGTGAACTGAACACGACATATTTATTCACTTATTAGTTTCTGTCTGATCCGTGGTTCCTTCCTGCTTTTCACTGCCATGCAACAGAGTGCATGATGGGTAAGTTCAGCTGAAGGTGTCTGTCGAGTGATTGGTTGACAAGTGATCAATCAGCTGATTTGATGATTCATTAATTGTTTAATTTCATTTAAAATAAACTAAAAAGTTTAGTTGTTAAGTTTTAAAACAAGACACTGTTTTTTATTATAAAATGTTTCTGTTTAAATCTCAAGAGTCAGATTTAAGAAGTTTATCGTTTTCTGTTTAATAATCAAATAATTTAATTAATCAGGACAAATATGGATTTGTTGGATTAAAATTTTTCAGAAAAAAATAAAAATTATTTTTGTGATAAAATATATAAAAACTGAAAGTTTAGTTTTGTTACAGTGAACAGAATGTTGGTTTCCAGAAATTTATTTTGATTCTGTGAAAAACCTTTTTATATAAGTTTTCTGTAAAAGTTAAAATAGTTTTATTTGAATAAACCCTTTGCCGCTTTCAAAAATAAAATCTTGGTTATTGATTCTAAATGCTGACACCAAACGAAACTCTCTGATTGGGCGAGCCTAGCAGCAGTGCATTCTGGGACTTGTAGGTAATTTCCCATTATTGTAACTCAAGAAAAATGAATAATTCATTGATCAATTAAATGATAATTTCAGGGTTTTAGTTTTAAAGTAAAATTAAGGCTTTTTTGTTAATAAAATTATAAAAAATATTTTAAATATTTGGTTTTCTGACAGATTAAAAAGATTAGTGTCTTAATTTCTTAAACCAAACCATTTTAAACCAGCGGATCAGTCAACAAGAAACCGATTGAATCTTTTTATTTTTATTTATTTATTTTTATTTTTACAAGAATAATTTTTTTTTTTTGGCATTAATGAAATTTTTTTTTTTTAAACCAAATAAAGCCGTTCGTCTTTGTATTGTTTTGGTGTTTATCTGGATGTTGTTTGTTTATTTATTTTTTTACTCGCTCAGATGGAAATATTTATGGATTCTACTGTCATAAGACGGTAAAGTCTGCAGCTCCGCACAGGCTATTATTTTGATAAGATTCAGCTTCTCACAGGCTCTTATTTTGATAAGATTGAACTTCCTGTTAATTTGTTTCGCTTGATAAAAAGGTGCTGGTTATTAAAGCTTTAAAACAACTTTGTCATAATTTTTTTTATTGTCGAAAAGTTTCAGTTTTTTTTTTTCAGAGGAAATGAAAATATCGAGCTTGATTCTGATTTTTAATAAATCATTTCAATTCTGTTTTAAATCTGCTTAAGTTTATTCTATTTTTGAATTGAAAAATGATCTTTTCCTCTGGTCAGTTTGAAAACAGATTTAATTTACTTCCTCAGTAAGTAAGTTTGTGGTAGCCGTCTACCTGATGTACAGTAAGCAACAAGATGGATGAACTGATGTCATCATTCCCTGTAGGTGGAAGAGAAAGCGTTGTGTACTGGTAAAGTTACAGAACCGTCTCCTTTGCAAACTTTGCGTTGCTCTGGGATTAGAGCACCGTGTGGCAGTCAGTGGACTGGTCTGATCCCAGGTGAGAGTCTGAGGGAATAAAAAGCTACAGCCGTCTGATCCAGAACTGTTCTTGGTTTACATCTAAACTGCTTCACCTTTCCTCAGAACTGTAGAGAGGAGTTCAGGATCAGGTAGAAGCTGTACATCTGCTTTGTTTAAATGATCAAATATAATCACTGCTGTGCCACTAAATGAAACATGTTGAATTCAACATCTTTATCTCCGTCTTACTTCATTCTTGGAGCTTATCTGGACTTTGGGCCATACATTAAACACCTGTGCTTTGTGATACTGGCAGTATTATACAGTACTATCCTCTTGGTGAACATGTTACTGATCGTGGTCATCTGTGTGAACAGGAGTCTACATGAACCCATGTACATGTTTCTGTGCAGCCTGTTTGTAAATGAGCTGTATGGAAGTTCAGGCTTGTTTCCATTCCTGCTGGTTCAGGTTCTGTCTGACGTTCACACCGTTTCTGTTCCACTTTGTTTCCTGCAGATCGTTTGTTTGTACTCGTATGCAAAAGTAGAATTTTGTAATTTAGCCGTCATGTCTTTTGACCGGTACGTTGCCATCTGTCGTCCCCTTCAGTACCACACAATAATGACACATTTTACGGTCCTGATCCTCATCGTTCTCACGTGGTTGTACTCGTTTATGACGTTTATGATTACCTTATCATTAACCCTCCGTCTGACTCTTTGTAAGAACGTCTTAAACAATGTATATTGTCTTAACCATCAGATCGTTAAGTTGGCGTGTTCGGACACCAGACTGAATTTTATTTATGGGCTTTTTGGTACCGTCCTCTCAGTCTTAGTCCCGCTGCTCACCATCCTTTTTTCTTACATTAAAATCCTGCATGTTTGTTGTGTTGGTTCCAGACAGACCCGGCAGAAAGCCGTCGGCACCTGCGCGCCTCACCTGGCTTCGCTCCTGAACTTTTCTTTTGGCTGCCTGTTTGAAATCTTTCAGAACAGGTTTGACACGATGGAGGTACCGAGCGTCCTGAAGATTACCATGTCTCTGTATTTTGTCGTGCTTCAGCCTCTTCTGAATCCCATCGTGTATGGGATGCGAGTGTCCAAGATACAAACTGCATGTAAACGTTTTTTCTTTAAAAAGAAACTCACCGAGCTGGTGTAAAACCAACCGCATTTAAATCTTTCCTTGTATTTTTAATAATAAAATGAATAATAATTTCACACTTTTCAGTCTCTGATGTTTAAAAATAAATATTTAATGAAACCATGATGACTTCAATTGAACTAAACAAGTCTAAATAATATAAAACCTATAACTAAAAACAAGTGAAAACTCAGAGTAACGAATAAAATTAAGAATTGCGTGTAAAACAGATTCTTTATATGCTCTTGGTTTATCGTCATCATAGATAAACTTACATTTTGCTTGTCTTTAAAAATATAATTTTATTTTTGCTGTGAAGTTTCCCATCATTAATTAAAAAAAAAACCTGGATGTAAAAGTGATTTTCATTTAAAATCATTTAAAAGTTTTATCTTTTAAGAGGCGTTTTTAAATTAATCTGAATAAAACATTTAACACGAGGTTCTGATGGTCGCTCATGTAAACCTCAAGTTTCTACAGTAAGAGGTGTAACAAATTAAAAATAACTTCCCGTTTTGAAGAAGTAGATTTCAGGTATGAATGTTCATGGGGGGTATTTTGGCACCTCTGGACTCTGAGGAGTTCTGTCTGTAAATTAAAGAGACGACTTTTCCTACATTTTAATGTGTAATTTGTAAATGTAAAGTACCGGCATGTAGAAGCAGGAGGACTTTGTTTGCTAAGGCTTTGTAAATCTGTGCCATAGCAACTCTTTAGAAACCCAGAAACTGGCCCATACCTTCGTAAAACCTCAACCTTGAATTTACAAAAAAAACAAAAAAAAAAACTACTTTAGACAATCCTGTGTCCTTCGCCTGATTCTGTGGTTGATGGTGTTTTGAGCTTAACGTTCAAGCAGGAAGAACTCTAGGAGCACAAAGTTTGAAGCGGTTTTAAAAGGTTCACCCTCATTACCTACAAATTGTTGTATTTGGTGAATTTTGTCGCCATGGTAACCCCTGTGATGGACTTGCGACCTGTCCAGGGCGTCCCCCGCCTCTCGCACAGTGATAGCTGGAAGTGGGCACCAGTGACAATGGATGGATGGTAACCCAAAATGCCACTAAAAGTAAACGCACCCATCGAGCCTCTTGTGTCGTGAACGTTTCCATTTGGGCTGCATTAAAGGTGACTGAAGAACAATGAAGAAGGGCACTAATTTAGAGGTGAACCCATTTATTTCATATTGTAAAATAAATATTTAGACAAAGTGGACTCAGTAAAACAGAGAACCCTCTTTAATACCGCTCTCCTTAAACTAGGAGCACCAGGTCGGTTGACTGACCTGAACTGGTCGATATAAAGAAAATGTTCATCAAAAGTGTATCTGCTGAAAAAGCATTTCGTTGTTCAATCGGCTGCCCATGAGGCTTGACTCTGGAATGAGAGAAAGATGGACGACGGATGGATGGATAGACAGGTGGCTGGGATTTTTCTGCTACAAACAATTATGCTATGTACAACAGAACAGGACAAATCTTATTAAGTATCACCTGTCTGCCATGGAAGTGATCTCCAGCTACAAGTACTTTGGTGTACACATGAATGACAACCTCAGCTGGAACAACACCACCAGCCTGATCAAGAAAGCTCATCAGAGACTCTACTTCCTCAGGCGGCTGAGAAGAGCTGGTCTGGGAAGCTCAGTCCTCAACTTCTTGTACAGGTGTGCAGTGGAGAGCATCCTGTGCTCCAGCATCAACGTGTGGCATGGAGGCTGCACAGAAGACTGTTGGAGTCAGTCTCCCCACCATCACAGACATCTACACCTCCAGATGCAGAAAGAGGGCCACCTGCATCATGAAGGACCCCACTCACCCAGCACACACACTTTTTGCCCCGCTCCCCTCAGGAAGAAGGTTGAGGAGCATTAAGTGTAGACTGTGGAACAGCTTCTACCCTGAGGCTGTTAGACTCATGAATCTCTAACCAGAATAATCACTGTGAAAAATCACATCATATTGCTGCTGATCTGTTCCATGTTGCTGCTGATCTGTTCCATGTTGCTGCTGATCTGTTCATGTTGCTGTTGATCTGTTCCATGTTGCTGCTGATCTGTTCATGTTGCTGTATTCATTTATATTCATCTGCTCACACAGACTCATGTTCGTGCTGCTGTTTGGCATATTTTTTATGCTACTAGTGCTTAGTGTATTTTTAGTTAACATTTTTCTTAGTTCTTGTCTTAGCTCTTATTACTGCTTTTCTTTTACATTTTAATACTTTTGTTGAATGTCACTGGGACCCTGTGTACACACTTTTGTTCCACCTCATGTACCACATGTGGTGTGAACGACAAATAAAGAACCTTGAATAAGCTTCTTTGTGGTTTATAAATATTTCATACTAAATTCTAATTCCAGGATCAACGCTCAAATACCAGATATGGAGCAAATGAAAGAAAAACGCAGGTCTGTTGGAATTTTTATTTACCTAATTATATCTTCTAGGAACTTATTGTTATTTTTATTATTATTATTATTATTATTATTATTATTATTATAATATTCAAAATGATTTTTGAATCCATCAAGAGGACCTGACTTAACTTTGTTAGATTTTCCACCTGGATTATTGAGCATGCATCATATTCTTATTGGATGTTTACAAATTTTTGGCCTAACATTTTATTTGTTTTAAATGTGGAAGTCCATATAGTATTGGCAATCATTTTACATTCCTTATTAGAAGCGGACAATCTGGACGAAGCGTGTCCAGTGTGTCAGTGTCTTCAGCATGTGCTCTCTGATCTCCGTGGTTCTGATACCGTAGATGATCGGGTTAAAACCGCTTGGGAACAGCAGGTACATGGTGCTGAAGAAAACCCGGATTGTTGCTGGAAGGCCGTTTCTAATCCGATATGAAAGGAATGCGATCAGCGCCAAAGTCAGACTGAAAGTCAGGACGATGATGTGTGTGACGCAGGTGTGAAGGGCTTTGGCGCCGGAGCTGCTGGACCTTAGCACAGAACTGAAAATCACAATATAAGAGGCAGCGATAATAAAAAAGTCCAAAACAGGGATGAAGAACACGGCCATCAGTCCTGCTAGACTGTTGATGGCGGTGCTTCCACAGGCCAGCTCCACCAAGGCCATGTGCTCACAGAAACAATGGTTTATTATATTTGTGCAAAACTGGAGTTTTCCTGCCAAACTCACAAAAAAAGTGATGAGAAGCACATTTCTGACAGCAAGAGGGATTATAAACTTCAGAAATCTCTGCAGAGCCATGAGTTCATGGTAGTACAGAGGTGTGCAGATGGCAAAGTAGCGGTCCAGAGCCATCCATACTAAAAACGTCGTCTGAAAAGCTCCAAAGAAGTGAATGAAGTGCATCTGAATCAGACAGCCAACCAGAGAGATCCCCTTCCAGTCAAACAGGAAGCTGAGCAGCATGTTGGGGACGAAGAATACTGGGAGGCAGAGTTCAACGCAGGCCATGCCGGCGATGAGGATGCTCATGGGTTGATGAAGGCTTCTGTGTGAAAAGACAACGTACACCAGCAGGGAGTTGGCCGCCAGCGCCACGATGAACATGAGGAAGAACGGGACGAAGAGGACGGGCCTCAGTGCTCCAAGTTCTTCGAAGCCAAGGAAAATAAAATGTTTGTGTGAAGAGATGTTCTCCATCCTGCCTTCGGTCTACAACCGGCTCGTCCAGCGTTTGAAAGCAGGCAGCCTGAAAACAGACACGATACAGAAACAACAGTACTGAAAAACTACAAATACAAAGCAGGATGTTAGATTCTGAACGTACCTGTTATTGTGGCACGGACCTGTACATTCTAATAAATATGGCTAAGTAAAATGGGTAATTATGAAAGATGAAACATTCAGATTAACTTTTCTCTCTGCAGAATTAGCCTGCTGATAATAACAATGGCTAATAATGCAATAAATACAACCTTCAGTAAGAGTTGGTATATATATATATTTAGATAGTTGTTTATGTGGATAAGCTAGCTAACAGAAACTAGTAACCAAAGCAGTGACAAAGTACTGGTTTAGTTTTACCAAGTTTCATTTAAAGAGGATATAATCCAGTGGGTCATTAGCCTAGTCGTGCTAGTTGTTAGCTTCAGCATGCTAATTTCTGCAGAGAACAGTTGAGCCAAACAACAAAAAATAATTAAAATTAAAAGAAAAGACTGATTTAATTTGAACATGTCTTTAAGGTAAAATCAATCAACGTTAATGTTGTTTATGTTACCGTAAACACCAAAAACAGGAAAGGAAGATGCGAAAGAGTTGACAATGACTTTTTTAAATTTTGAATTATGTCAAACATATTTTGTCATACCCAGCAGATACATTTATTGTAATAAATAATCCATTAAAACAGAAACCTGTGGTCTGCAGCTGGAGTTAGGCAAAGCTAAAAAAAACACTGCGATCCTTCATGCTTCCACCAAAACCAGGACTAGAAGAGTCGATCAGGAACAGGTTGTCTTTCACAACAAAGGCTTTTTGATAAACTCTGTTAAATTTCAGCGCTCTGTTTTAGTTTTAGTTAAAGTTTCACCACAGTTTTTGAACCCGCTCGACAGTGATGATAATCAGGAGTCATTCGCTGGTGTGATCCTGCGATGCTGAGTTTGTGTTTGTGACATAAATAAATTTTAATCCCATAAACATGCTAAAGCCATTCAGAAGCATTTCTTTGTTCAACAGAAGCAGATTTCCAAAAATGCCGACATTTTCTCTAAAAGACTTCCCAGTTTGCGTCGTAAACACAGATTGAACGTCCAGCTGCTCTTTGAGTCTTTGCTGTCCTGATAAAAACTTTAAGAACGCACTAAGACCCCCCAACATCGAAATATTTGTTCAGGGACACCAAAACATGACATGATGAGAAACACACAGTCAGCGTCAAAATTCACAACTCCACAAAAATATACCTGACCACCCTGTAGCTACGCTCTGATAACCTTTGAATATCTTAAAGAGCACAACGATTTACTCATTTTTGTTTTTTATTTGATAACAATCAAGCTGAACGTGTTTCTGACTGACGTCTAA